GTTCAAATATTTATATATTTTAATTTCTATGAAATTAAACTTAATTCTTTCACGCTTATATATATAATATATGGAATGATTTATATTTTTTTATTAAATAAAATATTTATCAGTAAATTGATACATATTTTACACAACTAACGTTTATAAAATTTTTAATTGCTTAAAAAGTATGATAAAATGGCAAATGAATATTAACATTAATCTGCAATATTTATAGAATAAAAAAATATATATGAAATTTTAAAAAAAAATCATAATTTCTTTTTTTTACTATTTCATATCGTAAGGGAATTTAATTTTACGGTTTTCACATGAGTTATTTAATTTATCAACGCATTGATTATAATAGGGTTTTATGGCTCAATGGAGCAGAGTACTCTGACTTTTAAATATAATAAAATTAAAAAGACATTAAATAAATATTTGTTGTTAATATGAAAGTAAGCGGAGTTTGGAAAAATTAAATAATTTAAATTTAATAAAATTTTTTCATTCAAATGCAATAATATTTGATTAAGGATGATTAATGATTAATTAAATTTAGACCGTGTGCGGGTTCGAGTAAATTGAGGTAAAGTAAATTGATATTACCTAGAGATTTTTTGCACTGCACTTATGTAAATATTTATTTATTTATTTATTGCACTTATTTATTATTTTTGGCTAAAAGTTTTCAAATTTATTTATTAACATCTTATAAAATTTTCACAATGGTAACACCAAATTTACCTAATTTTTATCTAATTTACCCTACTCGAAATATTGGTAAATACCAACATTCCCTGCCATACCGACATAATTTACTATTTCCCTTAATTTAACATCAATTAACTCGAATTCGCACATGGCCGTAGTAAGTATTTGGCACATATTGAAATTATTATCCGATGATGATTTGGTAATATTAATCAGAATTTTTATACAATATTTAATTAATTTTCGTTTTATGTTAATTTTATTTCCCTAAAGAATTTATGCATAATTCTTTAGATTATATTGAATGACTTTGAATATTGAAAAAATGTTAATAATAATTTTTAGTTAACAATCAATAAAGGTTTAATTAAATTTAAATGGAATTTGATTGCCGTAAAAATGTTACTTGTAATTTTAAAAACCAATTAACAATAGCTTAGTTAATAAAATTTTAATCAATCTAAGTAAAATTTAATTAAATTTATAATGTTTAATGTTAAAATATTCTGACCTGCATTAAAGCATTATTTATGTTAGTTAAAAATTTTGGTTTTAACTCGATAATTATAAGTTTACAATTGACTTTAATAATACGTCGTATGTATTGATTTAGTTATTTATCTGATATATATTTAAAATAAATAAAAATCATAAGTATTAAAAGTAAAAAAATAAAACAAATAAAACAATCTTTTATATAAGGAAATTAATAAATTTATTTATGGCGTATGAGTAACTTAGAATACTCGTGGAGTGAGTGAATCAATAATCAAAGCATGTAATTATTAATATAAATATACTTTATAGAAAAATTACAGTTATTATTCATTAACACAATTTTATATGTTATTTTTTACTATTCGTATTATTTTATTATATAGTTTATAAACTATATAAAACAATGTTCTGCCCTGATCAAGGATTGTACTGAGTTTAATCCATAACCTAGTACTTTAATTTTTTCAAATTTGAAGTTCTATTTTGAAAATGAAAATAAATTCTGCTATTCTTTTTTAGTATTCAGTTAAAGAAGTCGTTTAAAGAAAGAATATCTACTATCACCGTAAACAACAAAAATTTGTAATATTCAAAAATTGACTTTAAAGAGTAATCTTATGGATTACTTATTTTTCTGGATCTATTATAAATTCTGGTCAAAATTTTTTAAAATTTCTCATAACGATTATTTGATTATTTATATAAATCATTTATATATCTGTTGATAATATATGGCCAATATTAAAACAGTAATAATTTAAAAAATCATTTCGAAAATTTAAATTCTGAAACAATCTGTTACTATGAACTTAGTTATTTATAAGGTAACTTTATTGATTTCTTTTTTTAACCTATTTATATTATTTTACCCTTACTCTTTTTATCATCTAGCTTGTTCTATTTCAATATAATAATATGACTCTTACCCCTGTTTCTTCTTGATAATTAATTATTAATACGATCGAATATTAATTAATACGATAGAGAAGGAATGCATGAATCACTTTTAATGTCTTTGGCATGGGAATGTAACCGAAGCGATTTAATTTTCTGGAAAGTGGTTTTCTTACCGCCCTGGTAGATTCATATAGTGGAGTTAAACTTATTAGTTGTCTTCAATTTAAAAGATCAAATGATTTAACAAGGAGAGTACATAGAATTATAATGAAACAATGGATAGAGAACCTCTCCTTTTCTTAATAGCTTTAGCGTTTTAATATAGACAATATCTCTTCTTTCTCTTAAAACTTATGGAACTTTTGAGTTTCTCTTAGCTTAATTAGAAGATTAAATAACTTAGGAAAAGTAGTACATGGAGTGATAATGCAAACTATGTACAGAACATCTCGACTTTCTTTGATAACTAAAGTGAGTCTTTTTAATCTATGCTATTGTATTGTTAATCTGCTAATATTAACTGATTTTTATTAACGACTATTTTAGTTGCAAATTTGGAAAAGCTTGCAAGTCTTAAGTTATTAAATATTAATTAAATATTTACTGACAGTGGTAAACATATTAAACAAATATATTACTAAAGAAGTGTAATATATTTGTTGTTATTTATATTTTATATAACTATAAAATTAAACATTTTTTTATATTATGTTAGTAAAACTGGGATGTTCATTTAAAGGGAAAAAATATATAAGCAGCAACATCTAGGACTGAAATTATTCAAAAATTCAGCTCACAACCATTTGGATATATAGAATTTTAAGTTTGCCTAACACGATTGTATAGTGTACTGCTTTATTTATTTGAAATCATTATTTATTATTTAAAATCAGGATTAAATTCATGTTGCATTAAAAAGTATTAGAAGCAATTAGCTTTACTGAATTGTTATTTAAAAATTACATTTATCATTTAAATGTCTATATTATATTTAAGGATCAAAATTTTCTTAAAAGCAGAGTCTCCATCAAGTAGCAAAATAAATTTCACAGAGCAGGGATGCGGCGAGTGCTTATGCACAGACCTTGATCCGCCGCCGCGAAAAGAGAGTGTCCGAAAGAGGATAATGTCACTTGACTTGCATTTTTTTTCCACATATTTTTATATAAAAAAATAATTTTTTTAACAAAATAAATATGATATTTATTCTATCGATATTAATAACATTAATAAGGAAAATATTTATTAAATTTTTATTTAAAATTGTATAAAATTGTGTTGTTAAATAAATAATAAAATTTATTAACAAATAGGGTTTTTATATTATTAAAAGAAAAAAATTTATTACAAGAAATTAGCTTTCACAGACTAATTAGGTAGAAACAAAAATATAAAATTTTTGTAGTATACCTATAAGAAGAATATTTATGAATAATAAAAAATATAATAATTATAAATAAAAAGAATTATTTAACGTCACCCTGATTAAAAATTTGTGCAGCACATTTCCAATAATTGTATTAAAAATTTAATTCTGAACAAATATTTTGGTCTGCCATATATTAAAATATCATGAGTAAAAGGTATTGTATATGATACGGCTTAAAGAATAGGTCAGGACTGCTTTAGGTACTTAAAAGCCTGCCATATTCTGCAATAGCGTAACCTACTTTAATCCAATTTTCATATTGAATAGTTTCAATTTGACCCGCATTGAATAACGTATACTGAAATAGTGCAACGACCCTTAATTCGGTGTAGATTATGCCCTGAATTAATTTCCAGGCGGAACAGTTCAACAAAGAAGTTTTTGGAAATTCTGTTTAATATTAATGCGCCAAATTTGATTTAAAATTATATTCATAGAGACACTGCTGGCCACCCAAAATGATCCATTGTATGAGTATAGACGTCTGATGTATCATTGATATTGTAAATTTGCAGACAATACAAATTGATGGGTTATTTAAAAAATTGATGGCTTATTTAAAAAATTTATGGCTTATTTAAAAATTGATGTAAAAACTATATGTCAGATGGCGTTAAAAATTGACATTTGAATGTAAAACTTAAACTTCGTACCTTTATGGGCTTATGTTTGAATATATGAATTGTATATTACTAAATTCGTTTAAGATAATTGTAACAAACAAATTTAATAATACAATAATTTTAGACAATACTTTACAGTAAAATATATATAATTTTATACACAGTAATATGTCTGTTAAAGGAACGTTCTCATAATCTCTCTCTAAATCGTATGATGTTACTACTTCTGAGTTTAAGTTGTTCTAACCAATTACATTTGTAATATGGTCACCTTAATCTATGAACAAGTAATAAGGTAATCTTATTATTACTAATGCTTACCTCTCTTAGTTTTATGTTAATATGGTACATGTAAATTTAGTCTGTAAGCAATCATTGAATAAAGAACATTATAACATTAAGAAGATACATTATTCTCCCAATTCGACAACATTGTTGGATTCAGCTATATTCGCTTTGAATACTTTTCACTGCACTTACATATAAATTATAAATAAATATTACTAAGTCTTAATGTAAGTTATTTATTTTAAAATTAATTGTTTTTTATGTTCAGACTTTAATTTTTATTATTTAGTGAAACTAAATTAATTAAAAAATATATATTAAGAACTTTGAGCACTAAAAAAATAATCATTAATAATTATTAATTTAATAGTTAATTAAATAATTAATTAAATTAATTATTACTCTTTAATATTAGAACATATAGTTAAGTAATCTTTATAGAAACTGAATTGAATCTCTTAACTAATAATTTACAATTTTAGTTGGTAGTCAAATATTATAAAAGATTTTAATCCTTTCAGAATTATCACTAAATTACTTATGAATGATCTTAGAATATACGAGAGCTTATTATCCTTTTACCATTTTTAATGAAATTTAAAATAGAAAACGAGATATAAAAGTAAATTATTTTATGCCTCATGCATTCATGCGATGAAATAATTTTAAAAACAACCACAAAAGCGTTTCAGCCAATTTATCACCAAGTTGCCATTAGGCATTCGGTTAGTGTGCACAAACCATTCGTTGCTACTTTGAGTAGGTAATCTTATTATATACTGACACCCATGTACATGAATACATACATTATATATAGTATATATATAGATATTTACACTTTGTTAGGAGGAACACGCAATCTGTTGATTACACGCTGGATACGCTTTCGTCGATCAAGCCGTGCAAGCCATAGGACGCATTCATCGCATTCCCTGTCAATGGATTTTTGGACAATAAATTCGTGCCGACGTTCGTTGTGGGATTGCTGAGCGAATGATTGCTATGGGCTTTCATTGTGGTGGCCACACCGCCTCGGTGGTTGTCATAACTAAGCAATATTGTCGAATGTGGCGGACTTATGCCACCATTGCTGTTGTCAATGAAGTTCGTTGAATGCGTGTGGTGTGCCAATAAATGTGTTGCTTGGTTCGGATGTGGGCTGCGCACCAATGTTGACTTACGCATTATTGATGGCGTGGGCGATACTTGCAACAGGCTGACGTGCTCTTTATAGCTGCTGCTGCCATTGCTATTTGTGCGATAATAGCTCGGTTGGCGGAAGGTGCGAATTTGGCGACCGTTGCTGTCAATCTGTGTGACTGCGGTCAACATGGAAGGTGTACGCTGTGAGTCGCCTCTGCAAAAAGTTTTCGCAAATATTAACATACAAGGGAATATAAAAGGATGTCTACAATTTAGTGGGAACGTATAGTCCCATGTGACTTGTAATTCGCTTTAGTTTTAGTGAATTTTATAATTTACTTAGAAGTACTTAAAATTTGATTAATTTCGAGCTTCTGTGCTTGTTTTGTGTGTTAAAAATAATGGAATAAATTAAAATAATTAAAATTTCTTACCGATTTAAGCTGTGCGTTGCATTATTGTTGCCACTGCCTTTGCTTTCTTTCCGCTTCATGGGACATAGATGGAATGCGCCATAGATGAGTGGATTCACAAGACTGTTTGACATGCCAAAGAAGAAAATTGCCGACTGCAGGTCTTCGCCAAACTAAAAAATAAATGAAAACTTTTTTAAAATATCCAGTAGGCAAAAGTTTCGGTTCGCTGGAAGGATTTCATAAATTTTCTGTCATCCTTTTTAAAAATGATGAGTAATTGAATTTCGTTGTCAGCAGCTGCTGTAGCTTGAAGTGATTAAATTTTGTTTAGGATTCCTCTTCAATAAATCTGTGGCTACATTGTAACTTTGATAGTGAAACTGCACTAAATTATTTTAATTAAATGAAAGTACTTCCTTTGCTTTAAGCGCAGAAAAAGTTTTCGTATAAAATTTTGTTAACTAAGTATTTTCGTTTTAATGTAGTAAGAACTAAATACTTATTTTACATAAATCAATTATAAATTATTTAGGCACTTATTTAATTATAAATAACTAATTTTAAATATTATTTAATAAAAAAAAACATTTGCCATCTTTACTAAAAAGGTTTTTTAATTAACCTCAAGTTTATACAATATTAATATTTATCTTTATTTCAATAAGGACTTGATTACGAATCGATTTTTAATTTTAGTTATAGTGTTTTCGATTAGTATATATGGGGCAAAAATTATAACACTCGATTTGAAATCGAGGAGGAGGCCTTGAATTAAAGTGATATAGTGATATATGATAAAGTACATTAAACTTTAACTGCAATTTCATTTTTGATTGGTAAATGTGGAGTAAAATGTATAAGACTCGAGATTAATTTATAGCACTATAAGTATACCAGAGTAGCAAGATTACACCGAAATGGGTGTAATCATTTTATGTAACATAAAATGTTATGTGAGTAACCATCTGTTTGTGACCTTTTCTGAATTTGTTGTAAATCCCTAAAATCACCATATTTTATCACGCATCAACACTCCACTATTTTCTAATATATATTCTCTGCAATCAACTAGTTTATATGTTGAAACCCGAAATCTAAATAAAAAAGTGTTTTAATGTCCTTGATTAACTAAGAAATTTAATTCTTAATTTTGTAGATAATACATCTGAAGAGTTTATAAAATAAACTAAATAAAGTAACTATTATCCCCGATTCCAGAACCTTACTTGCACTGGGTATTTGACTAACAGTTTTTTTTAGCAAAACTTGATCTCCTTACAATCCACATTCCTATGAATCTTTTCGAAATATTTAAACAAACAGTTAAGTGGTATTGTTCTGATAATTATATTCGCAGTAAGTTGTAGTTAATACCAAACTAAGGTTTTATTTTTGATCACAGGGGAGTTTTGGAAAATGTATAAGCTGATGAGCTAGCTAGAACTTCATCAAAAACTGCTTTTACAAGCACTCAACCTCTTAGTAAGATTAACTTTGCCAGTACAAAACAAATGGGAAGATTGCCCAGGACTTAGACAACCCAAAGCAGTAATCGAACCGTACTACTACAAGGACATACTGAAATTCTCAAAATGTAATTTAAGGTTGTTAACGGGTTTCATTTCAGGGCATGATGGTCTAAAACATCATCTTCATAGACTACAATATCTGTTAATCCGGAATGCAGATTATACCTCGAGGATGAGGAAACCACCACACATATTCTTTTTGCCACCAGAACAAATTAAGAAATCTTCTCAAGATTTAGTTCTGGACTTTGTTCACAAAGCTTTAAGAGGCTTTGTGTAATCAATAGTGAAATTGGTATAATATAATTGGTATAATAATTTTTTTAATTATTTTATTTTTTAAGGTTTTATTTTGTTTATTAGCTAGTTATACTAGAATCGCATGCGAATTAGGCTCCGAATTAATTTGTAAGAAGCAATGTAGCTACGCAATTCTGCAGTTCTAGAGTTATTTTGGGAAATTAGTTAGTCCACAAATCAGACAATGATTAACAATTGTATGCAATTGTTGAACGGCGCCAATAGTTTGATATTAGGATGACTCCCGGGTCATCCTAATATATACATACATACATTAAGCAAATGTGATAAATACATCCATTATTTAACTCACTAAGTTATCGTCATACAATAACTATATACAATTCAATTGTTTGAACTGATATATTTTATCTAGCTATGAACGCAACATATAAAATTGCTAGAAATGATATTTTTGCACAATAGTAGTCAATTTGTATTACATACATACTTTTTAGTGCTCCCATAAAGTGGAATAATGCATCTAAATAGTACTTTAATATTTGATGTAATTCTGTTTGTGGTGTTATTTTAAGCAAACTGGCAAATTTGGATTAAAACTATTTTCGCAAATGCAACATTTTTGCTAACTCATCAGAGATTTGTTTAAACCAAAAAATCAACAAAATTTATATACTTCCATGTAAACGTATAGAAAGGTTATATATATCGTGGTAAGCTGCATAAATACGGTTTGATTGAAGTAAGTTTATAGAGGTCATATACTAATTTGTATGATTTAAACAATTTTTGTTTACATTGACTCAACTAAGGAACAACTTTACTAACATTCAAGATTAATTCCCTGCAATAAACTTTATCAAAGGCCTTCACGCTGCTTTTCAATAAAACTGATTTTATTTTACTATATATTTTTATAT